TCCCATCCTGCTAAATAAACATTTTTATTACCAAAGCGACAATTTGATCATAGAATAGTATATTATATGTTTAAGGTGTAATTGATATGATATAATTGATACGTTTTTCTTTTTGAAAAATCAGAGTCATAATTCTCTATTATATGATTATATGTAAGTTAAAATCGAACAAATTATAGTTGCCGATTTATCAAATCTCAAAGTACCGAAGTCGAACATAAAAATATTGAGTCATGTCAAATTAATTTTTAATATGATAATGATACATCCGACATTATATCGAGCTGCCAGATTGGTTGAAAATGAGCTTATGACACTTCAAAAAATAAACTTTCATTACTAGTCTATCGATAGATAATTGGTAACTAACATAATTTTTTAAAAATAATTCATCAATAATCCATTACTAAATAGGACTAATAATAAAAAAAATTTCTGTTAATAACAATAAATGTAGATATGCATAACCAATTAAAGAACAAAGAAACGGTCCAAATTTGTACTCCCTCCATTTCATTAGGTATTATTAGTTGTACCTTTTAAACAAAATGTTGTAACTCCAACTAATATTTTTTTTCTGATTTTTCTGAATTTAATGGTTCACAAAAGGAAATGTGTCTTATTTATATTCACAAAAAAACTCAGACATCACATTATTTCATAGTACATAAAAGATGTGAATTACATTGACTTTATAATATAATGGACGATCAAAATTAATTATTTTTGTCTTCAATTAAATACTCCCTCCATTCCATATTAAGTTAATTTTTTAGGTATTTTCCATTTTTCAAATTAACTTAATTGTTCAGTTTTCAAGACTACTTTTAGAGTGTTCTTCCAATTTTACCCTTCATTAGTTAGTATTGGAATTAGTAATTAATTAATATTTAGTTATTTTACTCATAAATTTGACAATAATTAATAAGGGTAAAAATGGAAAACTAGGTTCAATTTATGTCTTAATCTACTTTTCTTAAAGGGTGTGAAACACCTCAAAAATTAACTTAATATGGAATGGAGGGAGTATTTAATTGAAGACAAAAATAATTAATTTTGATCGTCCATTATATTATAAAGTCAATGTAATTCACATCTTTTATGTACTATGAAATAATGTGATGTCTGAGTTTTTTTGTGAATATAAATAAGACACATTTCCTTTTGTGAACCATTAAATTCAGAAAAATCAGAAAAAAAATATTAGTTGGAGTTACAACATTTTGTTTAAAAGGTACAACTAATAATACCTAATTGGTAAGATCCAAAAATTAAAATAATAGTACATCTCGAAAGGAAAAGAACAATAATGTGAAAAAGGTACAACCGGTACATTACTAATTAAAGAACCAAAAACAAATATTAGAAAGTGTCATCTATCTCGATTAATTTTTTGAGATACTTATAACGACGTAACTCCTACCGATATAAGTATTGAGTGATTTTGTCCATCAATTTTTTAAGGTACTTACTACGACGTAACTCCTACCGACATAAGTATCTTGAAAGGAAAAGAACAATGTGAAAAAGGTACAACCAATACACAACTAGTTAAAGAACCAAAAACAAATATCAGAAAGCATTGAGTGATTATGTCCATCAATATTTGAACATATGAGAAAAAATCAGTCAATATTTAAACTCGAAATCTCGTAACTCTCAACTTATTTCATTAACCATTAAACTGCACATTTGGGTGCCCCAATAAGGTAAATAGAGCTACTACAATGAGGACATTGATAGATTGTTACTTCTTATAATTAATAAACACCATTTAATAATTTGTACCCCAAAATGTGCAATAAGTCCAATCATATGTGGTTATTATATACTTCCACCTTACATAGTACAATCTTTTAATAGAATTTGTTCTAGGTTGATCAACTTGGTACCTTGTTGTATTTATCATTATTGAATTTTTCTTATTTTTGAGTGCTTGGCACTTGAATTAAAGTGGTTGAAAAGGATAAAGTTTTCCACACAAATAAAAAAATTGAAAAGGTTTTTCGAAAACATTTCATATTCAATCAAATATCATCAGACGTTTGATTTAAAAAACATTTTTCATTTTCTTTAAAAAGAAACATTTCCAAAAAAGTAAAATTAAGTGACCCCATGAAAAGTAAATTAATTGAGACCATGAAGTGTTGGTACAAATAATATATTTCATTTACTTTTTTTAATAATAATTATTATCATTTTGGGAGACAATATAATATTTTTAGGTTCCTCAGTTTAAGCAAAAGCCTTTACATGCATTATTATTGTCTCATATTAGTATTGCAAATAAACATATTTTTAGGTTTTGGGCAAAAAGGGAACAACTATATATACCATAGTTTACTTATAATTACTTAATAAATGATCTGATTAGGTAAATATTATTATTGCGCATAAAATTAAACTTGTTAGCTTTTCACAAACAAACATAGCCACATATTCTCTAGTGGCGGTGCTAGGGAACGTAAGAAGATCTATAATTCAAACACGTCTTTGCTAAAAATTAAAATTACACTATATATATAAGAGTTATATTTATTTTTATTTATCTATAATTTATGTTGAATCTCTTAGTTTTTTTAGTATGTCTTTGTTCACTTATTCTCAATCAAACACAAAAGTTTAAGTATATCCATAGGTCGTATTAAATCCAGTTAATCAACTTTTTTTAGTTTCACCGCCACTCTTCTCATGTAAAACACGTTTATTTTTTTGAAACAAATTTTAAAATAGAGATTCACAATGAATTGAAACTTAAAGAATGGTATAATTTACCAATTGATGTATAGTTATAGAGTAGTACAAAACTAATTAAGGACATGTGATGATCACATGCTACTGTTTTGTGGACCACAAAAGATGTTACATTTATATCCTTAAGGTTTTATTGTGAACTTATGATAAACACCAACCTAATAATTGTAATAATTTTCTATAAGTGATGATCTTTCTTTGAGTTGAGTACAATAAGAAATGTACAAGAAAAACAATGTAAAAAAAGATTGAGAAGTTAATATTGAGGTTAGTATGGTAAAAGAGAGAGTTGAGACAAAGGAAAATATTTTCAAGTCTTCTACTAATTCAATACACAAAAGAGAGTAATTATATATTGAAGGAAGGTGTTCTTTTTGTGGAGTTTTGAAACTCTTTAACTAATACAGAGATGCTTGTGTTGTACGACATTATTGTATTCTGGAGGGGACAAGTCAAGAGTATTACTGTTGGATAGGTGTTGATTATGCCGCATTGGGCTTGAATCTCTTTAAAGATAACAAGATATCTGCACCTCAGCCTGAATGATTATTTATTCACTTTGTAATTTTATTTACAACTGTAACTTATTCTATTTGTGGTATATTACACTAACAAAAAGTGAAATATATATATATCATGAAAACCCTAGTCTTAGTTCATTTTGGAAAGTTATATTGTTCTCTAACTTTTTTGTGTTATTATGTTGATCAATGACAATATCAAGAGTTCGATAAT